GAGTAGGCAAGAATCTTGAATAAAGAGTACCATTAATTAGACTATCAAAAGTCTCAAACTAAAAGAAAAAAATTTTAGAAGGCAGACTCTTGAGGTACTAGAGACAGAACACAGTCTTTCCAGGCTATCTGGATTGGGAGTCTGAAATCTAAAACAGGATATAACTAAGTATTAGAGATATGTTATAAAGTTAGTACTGAGGTCTGGGTAAACTTTACAAGGATGAGCCCTGTTAGCAAAGATTAAATATATGTAGTTAGTTAACAAGAGGGTCCTCTAGAGTTCTATAGTCAGATAACATATTCTGAAATATGTAACAACTTGATGGACATACAGACAGAAAGATTAGAGTTAGGTTAGATAGCATCTAATTAGATATACAGGAGCTTGTGTGCTATCTGCTAGTGTAGTATAAGGGTAACCTTATACAAGTTATGTAATTATAATTAAATTCACAATATAAAGGCAGTAGCTACTGATAACTAATAGTCTTAGTAAAAGCAAAAAAAAAAAAAACAAACAAAAAAACTTCATTAAATTTAATAAATATTTTTTTAAATAAATTTTATAAGTTTGTTAAATTTATTTTTTAAAAAAATTTATTTGAAAAAATTTTGTTTTATTAACTTAACCTTATATTTTTTTTTTTTTTTTTTTTGTTTTTTTTTCTCTTAGGCAGTCATGTTAGTATTTTATTAAGATTCATGAAATTGCTATTATAATTACATAGGTGTATATAACAATTAAGTTTAACATCACTCAGGCATCCTAATGGTGCCTAAGTATAACCTGATGCATTACTTTAAACAGAAATAAGCTGTTTGTCTAACTACTTAAAGTTTATAATAAAAAGATCTTCTCTTTTTTATGACAAGTCTCAAAATTGTTTTCCTGACTTCATCTTCAATTCATTTTTTCTTCTTTTTTAATTATCAAATAAGAGAATTCTATAATCTTTATCTAAAGAACAACAGGATATAAGAAAGAAAAAACTAAAAAGAGAATAAAAAAAAAAGAGAAGAAGTAACTACAAAACCTAAATGTAAACCAAAAGAAAAAAAAAGATAAAAAAAAAGGATAAAGAAAAAGAACAAAAAGAAACATAAAGACACTATTTTTGTCCACATTTGGCTTTAAAAAATTCTGTATAATACTAAATAAAGAATACTCTATATTTGCTTTATTTCTGTATTATAATATATTCTATTTGTTATATAGAGAAAATGATCGAAGTTTTTATTTTCCTTTTGAGTTTGATACATGTCATCTATAGTAGGTCCGATATTCATCTTATGATTAATGTTACTAATTTAAAAAGGTAAATAGTATTGATGTTTTGAAGGAGGTATACTAGATTTTCTATTTTTTGATAAAAATTTTGAGAGAAAAATCCAATAATAAGGATGGAAAAAAAAACCAATTTGAGAAGGAGTTGTAAGAGTTATGTTATATAGAATATTATATTAAAACAAGTAACTATTTAGACCTAAATCCTTATAATATTTGACAAAGTTCTTTGCTTAATAATATTCATGTTTTACTAAGAGACTTCACTTATAAGGGTTCAAGTCTTTTTCAACTCTTTTCAGTTACAACTAAGCATGTAATGAATAACCTTCCTAGTTATTCTAAAGTAGAGTTTTATTATATTTAAATATAATAACTATATAGTTTTTATAGGTCAGACTTTTGAGAAAAATTGGTATAAGAAATCATTGGAAAAAGTTCTAATAATCCTTTATGTTTTCTTTTTTTATATTAAATACTAAATTTTAAACTCATATAAACTTTAATTCTTTATCTTAATATCAAAAATAAAATAAAATAAACTTTAATTCTTTGTAACTTTTTTAAAACAAAAAATAAAACAAATCTTTTGTCAGAAATGTAGTTGATTTAAAAATCTATTAATTTGTTAGTAGATTTTTTGATTTAATTTGTTTTAAAAAAGTTAAGTTTTTATTAATAAACATTAGATATGTTTGACTGTTCTGCACTGTAAAATTTTAATTGAAATCCCGAGTACGATTTTCCTTTAGCGGCACTCATAGTGTACAAATAGAAATTGCTAAAAAAATTTTTTTTTTAATATTCCGTTTTATTTTAAATACTAAACCAAAATTGGCTAAATAAACAAATGTTTTCTAGTAACTTAATCAAAGTGATCTCATAACAAGTCAGGAAGAATATGGGATTTTTTCTTCTGGAAAAGTAGGTCCCACACGTTTAATGTTAATATTAGCCAGCCAATGACCAGCATTAACAGATACTTCAATTGTTTTTCCTTGCACATACTGACTTAAAAACCCACCAGCAAAAGAATCACCAGCGCCGTTTGTATCAACGATCTCTTCAACATTAATTGGAATTACGGGAAATTCATTTATACTATTATCCTCTTGTTTTGCAACAATTGTGGGTTCAGAACCTTGAGTGATTATAACAACACGAGAACGTGATGCATTAATTTTATGAAGATTCGCAATTTTTAGAGCGATTACTTTAAGGTCTTTCGTCTATTTATTAAATGAAAGAGTAATACTGTTATTATTATGATAGTTGATCATGAAGATCTGAAATGAAACATTAATTTACCTCCCAATTTTCAGAAACAGCAAAAGCTTCAGCCTCAGCTTCATTACCAAAAATGATATCACAATATTTAACGATTTCACCTAAACATTCTTTCATTTGAGGATCTTGGCATATAAATGGTGCTGATAAATTTAATGCAAAAACCTATATATGTGTAGAAAATTAAACTTATAAGCGATCTTTAAGATACACGCCTGTGACTGGACATCAGTATTACCTTGCTTGTTTCAGCCGCGTGCTTCGCAATTTTCAAAATTGAACTATATGAAGATGAGATAAAAAATCCTGTAATATAATAAAATTTTACATTTTTTACAATTTCCCATTTTTCAGGTAGATCAAGGTGTAAGGAATCTTTATACTGTTGTGCGGCAGATAAGTTTGCTACCAGAGATCTTTAACAGAAATGAATTAAACAATCAACTTTGAGCATAGTAATCGGCAGAAAATTTTGTTTTAAATACCTATGATTATTAGTAACAATAACAGCACAAGTACCAGTTGGATGTGTATCAGTAACCAAATAATCAACCATTAAACCTTCTTTCTGCGCAACCTTGCGCATCTGTTCAGCGTATTGATCATTACCGACACATCCAAAATAAACAGTTGAATTTGGCTGAAGAATGTACTAAATTAATAGAAACATATGTCAAATATTTTAATTCTAAAGAAATATCATGTCGGTGACTTAACAATTTACCTGAACAGCTCGAGCGACATTTTGAGCAGCACCACCAGCTACATAGTGAGGGTTGTAAGACTTAACCAACTCTTCATACCTTGATTTTCCGGATAATTTAAAATTTAAAATATCATTTATAAAATTTCCGATGTAAAATTTACTTATTTAACAAAAGGATGAAAATTTTAAAATAAATACAAAGGCATATGCTTCTCTTCGGCAAGAATAGCATCATTGGCTTTCAGACCGTATCTAAATACAGAAAAAGTAAACCATGAGGGGTTGATATAATAGTATTTATTATTTAATGGATATATTTACTTCTTAAGGAGGACTTCGTCAGCAACGACGGAAATGTCCAATAAAGGATTACCCATACAAAGAAGAGTAGGTTTCTGTTCGGTCATTTTTCTCGGTCAAACGTAGGTCTCACGGAATGACTAGTTTTAAGAAGTAATGTACTTATCGTCACGGATATTAAATTAACCTTAACTCGTTGATCGATCGAAAACGCGTTAAGTATAATAATCGAGTTTATCACATCAATTTATCGAATTCATCCAATTAAATTTTGATAAATTCTAGAATATCCCAAAATTGAAAAATTGATGTGATAAATTCGAATTATTAAACCCGGTTCCAATCTTTAAGTGAAAATCATCTGACATGTTAAATATGGCCAATCAGATCACTCAAGTCAACATTGAATCCCATAATTTGTTTTTACATGAAAAATGTCTAATATATAAACTTAGAAATAACTATACTAGTGTCGGTCAATTTGGCAGTTGACTGTAGCTCTGCTTCTGGAGGACAGGGTGGTGGAATAACCCTTAGTTGGGTCCACAACTCTTTGCACCGCACGTTGAGAGTAGTGTCTCACTTGAACCCGATGTGAACATTCTGGTCTAAATGTAAATTTGGATTAGGAGGTTCTTAAATAGCAGGGATAATGCCCGAGGCTGGAAACAGAGCAGGGAAAACTTGCAGCATTGGGTGGCAGTGAGGTAGCACACTTGAGTGATTGGTTGTAGAGGTTGCTAAGTGAGATGGTTGAACTGTTACCCGTTTTTTTTTCCTCCTCACTACTAAAGATGTAGTTATTTTATACGTCATCCTTTACGTCATATAAAATTCAGATATAATTTAATACGTCATAGTAAATGTTAATTGATATTCTAATGTCTGCAGCTTTACTCACTACACGTGAGTCAGTTAAAATACTAATTTTTCAGTTGAGAATGTTATTTTTTTTAGTGAATCTTGCAATTTCTATTCTAGTACAGTCAGACCAAACTCTTAAATACATAGTCTCTCTAAATGCATGACTTCGCCTTGGCTCTAACTTATGATACTTATAGATTTTGCCTCTCTAGATGCAAGGTTTTTTATAAGCCCTTTACTATGCACTTAGAGAGGGTTGACTGTATATCAAACAAGGTGTAGACTTTTCAAGGCGAGTTTTAAAAACCATTCAACATTTTTTTTATTGTACAATTTTCGAGCCAAACGTTTTAATAATTAGAGTGTCATTGACCCTTTTTCTTAAACACAATTGTTTTTAAAAAATACTGTTATATGTTGATACAAAACGGGATACATTAAACAAAAAACCATAAGTGCTCTAATTTATCTACCTATAGAACAATTCTTTTTACAGATTGCTATAATACATGTAAAGATACAATGTGAATAATGTACAAATAAACAATTTTATTATTTATTCATAACGTGAAGTCCCAGCCTTAAGTTCTTCTAATTGACGCTCTTGGTTTGCAATAACTTCTTCTTGTTTACCAATCCATTCTGTCATCTCATCAATTTGTTTTCTATAATTTGTATGTTCTTCGCGTAATTTTTCCTATTTTTAAGAAAAGTCAAAAAAATTCACGGTAATAAACCAAATAGAGATAAATTCAGTGTATCCCCTTAGAACACTCATTACCTTCAATTGATCCAATTCATTTTGTAGTCTTGTCCTTTCTTGTTCCGCTCGTACTTTTCCATCATCCGCTTCAGCTAATTTTCCTTGAATGATTTTTGAAGCTTTGTATAATCGCATTGATTTACTATCTGACAATTGTAACTGTAAATTCATTCAATGATTAGCCTTGTTAAATATAGTACATGTTGTTAATAAATATAAATATTAACCTGTTCATTTAACTGGTTTATTTTGGCTTCATAATGATTTTTAATAAGAGCCTCTCGTTGTCTAGCATCACCACCCTCACTTTTAGTAACTCTCTAATTATAAACGAAAATTTCATTTAACGTTAAAATAATTATAAAAGAATGTATAATCATTAAAAATAAAATGATCTAATTACCCCTATATCTCGCTCCAACTCGAGAATACTTGAATTACCATTGCGATTTGCGTTAATATCAATATCGTCAGTTGTAGATCTTGTTATTGGTGTTGTCATAACAGTTATAGCTGTTGGGCGCGAGGTATCTTTAATTGGTTGGTCTGAAGGTTCAGTACTTTCTCTTTTTTCAGCGTCATGAGGATAAACAAATGACTATCATAATAAATTATTCTTTGTTAATGATAATCCTGGATTATAAGGCGACGACGCTTTCATCGACGTTTTTAAAACAACCAACCTCATTATCGTCGTCGTCATCATCATTTTCCTCTTGTGATGTAACATTTGTATTATTTTCTCTTGTGACAGAATTATCTTTATTGGCTAATGTATCATGATGATTTACACCATTCGACGATATTCCATTCAATCCGTTAACAAGTGAAGGTGCTACCTCATTGCTAGTAACGCCGTTTTCTACATTATCAACTCCTTGTTGCTGATTCATTTCTGTCGCTAGGCCATTATAAGTTGCCTAAGTAAATTAAAATAATATAAATTTCTCGAATTAAACAGTGTCAATTATATATCTTCTAAGTTATCAGGAATATATACCTTTTGTCTATCTAATTCTTCTTTCAACTGAGAAATTTGAGCTTCTAGATCCTTGATCTTATTCGAATCAGATTCGTTGACTTTAATAAGATTTTCTTTATCTACAGTTAATTCTGCTATTTTGCCTATTAAAATATATATATTATTATTATTATTAAAAAGTCTTTTGAAATATGTAGCACAATAAATAACGATATCATTTTGCATACTTTGAGCAGAAGCCAATTTTACCGCTAGTTTTTGTAAATTTTGTTGCCATACTAAACTAGCACTTTTAACTTTCAATCCTAGTTCATAAGACGTGTCTGACTGTATCACATGACACGATATAATTTAGTTAAAACCACGCAAAAAAAAGAGCATGACCACCTTTTTTTTACCTTTTCTTTGAGTGATTTTAGGTAATCACGGGCATTTGATTGCAATTGTTTAAAACTTTCGATAAGTTCATTTGATTCATTATCAATTTTTTCACGCAATGCCTATAAATAGAAAAAAAGAAAAAAGTCAAAGAAATATACATAAAATTTCAAGTAAATATTAAAAAATGCAATAAAGTACAGACACTAAATTGATCTATTTGTGATTCGCGCGAAAGACCCAGATTTATCTCCAATGTATCTCGAAGCACAATCACTTCAGCTTGCAATACATCATCACCCTCTTTCAATTTCTGCTCGTTTTTTTCCATAAGTGCCTTTATCCTATAACAAGAGTGGTGTATTTAGTATAAAATGATATTGTGTCTCCTGAACTAGGGTTTGGAACTATGTTAAACCGGTTTGATTTATGAAAACAAACCCGGTTCAGAACTCTGTTCCAAAGATAAGAAACCTTTATGCAAGCTTACTCGCGTAGCTCCAATCTTGCTTGGTCAAGCTCGTTATCAACATCACGCTTCTCTTGACGTATTATACTCAAGGCCTCTTCGCTAGCAAGATGAGATCTTGTTAATTCGATCTAGATAAACAGCATCTATATGAATTAATGGTTTGACAGAAGATAATATTATTGAATGTCTTAGGATACCTGAAGTTCTTCTGTTTTTCTCTCCAATTCCGATATTTTAGATTGGAGAGAAGCCACATGTTGTGTATATAAACTGTTAACTTCAAATAGCTCTTTATGTAACTTTTCTGAAAAGTGCAATTGATATCATTAATAGAATTTTAAAACAGCGAAACATATTGTAAATTACATGCCTAACACATAGTATTAAATTCGAAATTTTATTATACCATTTTCTTCAATTTTTCTATTTAGTTCTATGGTAGTAGTCTCTAAAGTCACTTTTGATTTTTCAAGTTCTTTCTTAGCTGAACCCACTAACCAACCAGGTGATAACCTCTAATAAGGAGAATAAAAGTCTTTAATTCGAAAATTACAATGTTATTAAGACCAGATACATTCAAATTCCATAAAATTTGTACCGCAGCACTCGATTCCTGTAAGCTTTCAATACGTTTGGTTAAACGTTGGTTATGAAACGTTAAAAGATCGAGTTGTTGTAGTGACTACACAAATATAGACATAAATTTTAAATTAATTGCAAAGAATTCTCAATAATTTGACAGAGTACATCAACAATTCATTAAACCTACGGTACGCAATTCTTGTTCCTTGGTTTTGCATTCATCTTGTAATGAAGTAATAGTTTTTTGTTCCTATTAAAAGAAATTAATCGTCATTCTATTGTCTTCTCGTAATAATTCCGTAAATTTTTTAAGTTGAAACCAAAGTTTAAACCTTAATAACGGCTTTCTTTAATACAGAATGTTGTGCTTTCATCCTAATAATCCAAAAAGGTAAGGTGAAATCAAATAAAAACAAATATGAAAATATCTATAATTTTACCGAGAAAATTCAGAGAATAATTTTTGATATTTTTCGGATAATTCTTCAGCTGAAGTAACGCCTACTAGACAGCATTTTCAACGCGAAAAAAAACAGGTAATTAGATGCTTTATTAGCAATTATGGTACTTTCTCAAACCAAAAAACCCAGTACCTGAAGACTGAAGTGATGAGGTAGAATGCCTGCCATCGCTCATGTTTGTATCAGAATTATTGAAATGCTAACGAAGTTGACAGTCCGCGACTAAAGAAATATGAAGCAATTATAGTTTAATCGGTGGAGTCCGCCATTCACATGATCAAGGTCACACAAAACCATATAAAGCAGGAAGACAAACAAGTTTTTTTTTTATCTAAGCATGCATAATAGAACGTTTCAGTTCTATTCAAAGAGATATCTGACAATAGAGTATTTTAATCAGATTGTGTACAAAATTCAGAATTTTAACAATGCCACGATAAGATAGATAAGATTCTATGACGTTTCCAATTGTGATGAGAAATTCTCCATGGACATGTGGCTTGGGTAGTTATCTTACGAGCCATAGCGATGGAAATGTTGCAATTCCCGAACATACTTTTTGCCATTATAACTTTCATAAAAACCTCTTATAGAATCCATACCTCTCAGAAGTCGATAACATCAGATAGTCACGTGAGTACATAGGCACGGGACTTAAGACACTAGTGAAATTAGCATTTCTTCATGAGACTGTGCAGCAGAGACCTGTAAATTTGGTATTTATTTATAAGATGCATTTTAAAAAATATGTATGTGTATCGATATATATTTCTTAGTATATAGTAATTTAGAATCTATGCCAGCTTTAATGAAATTTGTATTTCTTTTTATTACGTATGTACTAGCAGTTAAAGTTTACTCTGTCTCGGTTTTTATAATGATATATGCACAAACAAATTTAATCAAATTGATTTTAAACTTGGAAGGTTCTTATTTAGGCCTCCGCAAAAATTACCGTGCGATTTCTGAATTTTTGAAGGCTATAAAAACTGTGTTCCACAATTGGTGCTTGAGCCGAAATTAGTACATGGAATAGCATGATAAACTCACTTTCTGATAACGGCCTCACTCAGACGAGGGCCAGGCCTGAGCCCGTAGCCCACATACCGATTTCGGTTCAAGCACCAATTGTGGAACACAGTTTTTATAGCCTTCAAAAATTCAGAAGTCGCACGGGTAATTTTTGCGAAGGCCTATTCTTATTTATGCCTTCATACTATTTTTTCCAAGTATTAATCCGGAATCTTTATACTGTAATAATTTTATTAAAATAGGGTATATTTGATGTTTATAAATATGAGTGAATGAATCTATTTGTCACCGGCGATGATAGTCACCGGAATGTGATCGACCACTTAGATCACAGGATTATGTGCAACGTGAAAATTGCAAAAACTTTGATATCTCGAAATTCATCTATGAAACCACCTTTTACGTTCTAACAAAAAAATTAAGATCAATAATTGTAAGTTTTGATATTAAATTTAGAGAATGACTATTTCCACCTCCCACTTTTGCTAATGCCACCCCACATGATTTAGCCAATCTCCGACCTTATCCTAACCCTACATGATATGTTACATCTTGAAGTTTCGGCCTATAAAAATTTTGGTTATGTGTCCTTTATGTGTGTAACGTAGTTGTCTGATTAGGGTTGGAAGAGAGTCAAGAGGGTTAGAAACTCATGAAGGTGGCATTAGTAAAAGTGAAAGGTGGAAAAAACAACGCTCTAAATTTATTAATAATAATTCATATACAGTCAGACCTTTCTAAATGCAATGCGACGGGACCATATGTAAAAATTTAGCAAAACGTGCATTTAGAGAGGTATTGCATTTAGGGAGGTAAAAATCTATAGGCGTAATATAAGTTGGGCCCAAGAGAAGACGTGCATTTAGGGAGGTAGCATTTAGTACATTTTTTTACTCTTGTAAAGTTTACTAAAACCTTAATATCTATCTTTTTGGTGTTTTCTTTATTGTCTTTTTTTTTTTTGTATTAAGGTGATCTTTTTGATTTTTTAACTTTTATTAATAACTTTTTAGTAAGATTTTTATCATTTTGCGCATATGCGTTGTAATTAGGGTTCAGGGCATGGGAAAAAATTTGGACATGCCCCTGAGCTAAGGCATGCTTCTCATGCCTATGGGCATGCCTTTTTTAAATCATATGATTAACACATAGTTTAAAATTTTTATATGTTGATTTAGTATTTATGGTTCTAGTTTACCTGAACTTATTAGCCAATTAAAATAACTTTAAACATCACATGACAAGGGCATGCCCTTTGGACTTAAGGCATGCCCATAGGCATGCCCTAGAGGCATGTCCTTAGGGGCATGTTTCATGCCTTGTGCCCTGAACTCTAGTTGTAATGCATCTATAAGATTAGGTGTAACAAGAAATCAAAACAAACCAATTAGTGCATTAATTTAGAGTAAGGGTTAGTGTTAAGATAGGTCAGGATTAAATAATAATAAAAAATGATTTTAATATTAAAATTTTGTAAAGAATTTTTTTTATTAGAATACAAAAAGTGTTTTCATAAACAAAATTTTGAATTACAGGTGATTTTTAGAAAAATTGGTATTTTTTTTCAATTTTATATTACATCTGATTTTATGATCCAATTGGTTGATTAGGTGGATGCATTACAACATACATATGTTAAATTACATAAACCTTTTAGTAATATGATTCAATGAAGCACTACAAAAATAGTATACAATTAGTTATACATGTAACTTTTTTATATTACCTATTTAAGAAGCTTGCTTAAAAATTCTTTACCAATTGTTATATTTAATATTTTTGTTTAGGTTTTTTGAATTTGCATCTGTATTAATATTACTAGGTCATCATCTTAACTTTAAAACTATTTCATTTTTGAGATAAATTTTTTAAAGTCTTTTGTATTTATTTTTACTGTTAATATAATATTGTTATAATAAAATTAATATTTACAGTTAAGATTAGTTATTAAACTACTATGTTTTTGTAAAGTTTAATTAGACTTTAGTACCTATTTACAGTATATCTAAATTACTTTAATATATTTCTGTTTGTTTTTTAAATTCTTAATTTAGATAGTTTAGTAAAATTATAATCAATTTATTAGTATATCAAATTAATTTAATATCTTTTTCTTTAGTTTGTTTTGACAGTCTGATTAATAATACTTCTTATTTAAAGGTTTTTGCTTATCTGAATATTTTAATATTAGTATTTATATTCTAAGACTAATCTTTAAAATAGTATTATTAAAAATTTGTATTATTTTTTTATTTGAGTTTTTTTAAATAAATTTTTTTGTTTTTAATTTTAATAAATTTATATAATTATTAAAACTTAGTATCATTCAATACTGATTTGCATTTATCTATATAATATTATATTTATACAGATGCTTTATGATCTAACAGTTATATTAGTATGACTATTATTGTAAATATTTTATCCTAATTATTAGAAATAGTTACTATAATATAAATACATACTACATAAATAATAATTTATTTTTTTAATATTAATGATGAAGCCATACCTCTATTTTTATTGAATATTTAATTAAAATTTTATATAAAGTACAATTCTGCTTTTAAAATATTATAAAAAAAATAGAAGCTTAGACTAATTTATCTGCAATCTAAACTAACTGAAATGGTTAAAGCTTATCTAGATTTGAATGTTAGTAATTATATATAAGAAATTAGTTTGATATTTAATCTATTAGATATACTAAGAGTTTATTTTTGAACTAATAGAATTGAATAGAAAAGAGTATGATGAAAATAAGCCAGCATTTAAAGGTGTGTTATATTCAGAAAAGATCTTACTCCAGAATTCTGACATCCAAAATCCTAATATCCAAAATCCTAACCCCAGAATCCCGACAGTACTAAAATCCCAACACTCAAAATCCTGACCCCAAAATCCCATCATTTCCAAAATCTCAACAGTACCAAATTCCAACAGTACCAAAATCCTAACACTATTTATATTGATCCCAACACCTAAAATCCTAACAATGCCAAAATCTCAACATTACCAAGATCCTGACAATATTGAACTCCTGACAATGCCAAAATCCTGACATTATTAGGATCCTGACAGGTCAAAATCCTGATATTACTAAGATCTTGACAATGTCAAATTCTAACAATACCAAAATTTTGATTACCAATTTTAATATATATTAATAAATTCTGAATTTTATCAAACAAAAAAATAAAGTGAAATTCAAAGTTAAAATATCCTATTCTGTTATATAATTGAAAGTGTTTATTGTTATAGAAATATTTTAAACAACTTTGATTTCCTGATATGAAAAGGTGTTCATCCTCTGTAGAACTTTGCTGATATCTCTGATCTCTACTAGAAAAATGAAATCCAATGGGCTTATTGTTACAAAGATTGGAAAATATATTACATAAAACTCATCATAAAATTAACTATCCATGTTATGCTGAACCCATTATGTTTTATCAGCTGATAATCTTTGAAAATAGCTTTGATTTTGTTTTGAGAATGTACCTGTAGTAATTTGTAGTAAAGCTGGTTGTAGAAAGGTATAAATATTATGAGTTTTTTATAGTAAAAATGATCAAAATGCAATGTAAGAATCTAATGGTTTTATTTGATGACAATTATTAACAGACAAATTTGATTAGTTTTCTTGCTATAATGAATAAAATAAAATTTCACACTTTAAATCTTTATGCTAGCATAACAGATAGCAAAAAAATTATCAATGATTAATCAATTTATGAAAGACTCAAATAAATGTTAATATTATGAATTCTGGTTATTTTTTGATAAAATCAATACATGCAATTATATAGGTCTCTTAGCGGATCTGATAACAACTTATATAGTATATAAAGGCAATCAAATATTACATCTAAATGTTAAAATATTTGTTGTATAGAATCCGTATAGAATTAGAACTAAAAGTTCAAGTGTTGCAGAATTTTATATTTAAGATTTGATAAACAGTCAAAGAAGTAATTTAGTTTATGAAATAAGAAAATATATAAAGATTATAACAAAAACTCAACTTGATAATAACTTACATTATAAATTTGAATTAATAGATCTACTAGAAAATCATAAGGTAGAGAAAGGTATTCTGATGAAATTAAAATTTATCAATATTTGCTTTAATAAAACTTTATTAAAATACTACTAATTACAAATTTCACTTCAATATAACATAATTATTCATTTATTAAATTATACAATTAAATAAAAAAAGATGTTGGCTTGTATTTGTCTAACTTTTGTTAATGCGAAGTAACTTTAATAGTTGGGAGGGTAAAGTGACTGATCGACAGATTAACATATTAAGTATTGAAATAATTATCAGTATGTTGTAATAGTGTAGATTCATATATAGTAGAAGACTCAGATGCCGGGGGTTGTTACTAAGCAAAAGGCTAAGATTAGGAATACTAAATTTACTCGAATTTCCTTTCTATACCCTAACTGGTAGGCTTCGATCAAGGCATAGATTGACTTGGTCCGAGAATAGAGTGTTTTTGGATACTGCGGGGGTCACAGGACTTGTTTTAAAGCTATTTACTGTAATTTGAGCTTGAGTTTATTACTAATTCCAACATGTTTGTTGCTTTTATGGTCTCTGGTTCAAATAACTAATACTATCTCTAGTATAGTTCTTATTTTTCAAGTGCACCTGAGTTTCAATCGTCTTTTGAATTCAGAATTTCAGGGTCATGTGTTACAGAATTACAATTTAGTATGATTATGTATGTATAAGTTTATTTAGCAATTAGACCAATTACAACTTAATCAATTTAAGTATTTTTATATATAAGAGATCGATTACTAATAAGAATTTTCTCTCTTTTACTTTTAGTGAACTATTGGTAACAGGTTTGTTACTAATTACAAGGACAAGTCAAATGTGATAACACAAAATACTACAATCATATAGTACTTAAGGAACTACCACTACTATTATGTCATAGTTTCGAACTCAAAAGGAAGTTATCTTTATTTCAATTAAACTATTGGACCTTTATATACATTTTAGTTATTATAGGACTTTTACTAACACTTTTACCACTTCTAACCTATATGCTATTACTGCCACAACTGTTATAGCTACCATTGCTGTCATATCTGACAGCTATGATAACTTTTTACTAAATTTGGTCCAGATTGGCTCAAGTAACCTTGATGTCGGTATTGATGATTTACCCTTACAACATATGCATATGTATTATAACAATCATCTGCTATGATATGTATTATTCGCTCCAGAGTTTTGTACAATCTATTAGTCAAAATCAGGTATTTTTTATATTATTCAATTTGTCTTGATAAGATGAATCAAGTAGTATAAGAATTATTAGATTCTAGTTGATAACCAAGGTTTAACTTCAATAATATGTTATCTGTCACATTATCCACTCCTGCCAGAATACCTCTTTCTACTTTACAATACACATATATTTTATTTTCTTGAATTTATTAAGTTCAGAAGTTCTTTATATTTACTGACTAAAAATCATGAGATCCATTATCTCTCAAATTTCATTAATTGTTCTGCTAGGCAATGCATTTATTTGTGAAGTCCTTGCTTCACTTCAGACAATAACCCAGAAATAATAAACTTATAAATTAAAGATATAGTAATTTTATAATGATAAATCGAGATTAGAATTGGATTTATTAATACAAATTTATCATCATAATTATTACAATAATGAATCCAAATATCAATAAGTTCTTAATAAATCCTAACACTAATAAATTACAAATTTGTATGATAAATTTGTATTATTAATTCTGGTTCCAAACTCTATTTATAATCAGGATATTAAAAATTAAACGTTTGGAATCAGATTTAATAATGCAAATTTATTATATGAATTTTGTGAAATGTTAGATTTATCAATAATATATAAATTAATAGTTGGATTTATTGTCAATAACAAGATTAATATACGATACTATATTGTCAACTTACAATATTATTTTTTTTTTACCAAAAAGCATTCTGCTACTAACACTAATTTTGTTAGTTAATTAATTATTTAACAAATGAATTAGATTATTATGATTAATGTTTATGAGTAATAATGTAATATACAGAGTATAACTTAAATAAATGAAATATATTTACTATTTTTATATTTATATAATTCGATTTTCATTCTATTGACTGTTCTATTAATAGCTTACCAATTTTAAAGCATTCTATATTCATTAATTTTCTTTTATTATATAACACAATTTACTTCTTTTTAATTAATTATTCTGCTATCTTATTTTTATATCCTATCCATTATATTTTTATTCTTATATCCTATCTGTTATATTTTTATTCTTATATTTTTTATTTATTTTAATATTAAAAGAATAAAGATGCTAAAAAAGAATGAAGTTTGTGAAGCAATTCTATTACAAAAAGGGAATGATAGCATTAAAGTCAGAAGGTTTATTCTGGTAAAAGAATGGAATCGAGGAGACAAATTTTATTGGTGTTGTGTAAAGCATAAATCAAAGAAATGTAAAGGTCGTACAACAACAATTCTAAAAAACAATTTGAACTATTTACAAACATATGAAGTACGCAAACATAACTATGCTCTCCAAGCAAGTAGCTCTGAAGTTGCCACAGCCATTGCCAGCATCAAAAAATGTGCTTCAGAAAGTCGAAAAAAGCTCGCACAATTAATTCAAGACAATATAACAAAGTTTCCTGAAGTGCAACCATACATGCCATCCCTTAATTCTCTCTATAAAATAATTTACCATTCAAGAAAAAATGAAAATTTACCACAATTGCAATCAGCAAATGCATTAGATATTATCATACCATCTATACTATGTAATACCTTGGCCGGAAATCTTTTTTTAATTAAAGATTCTATACTTGGCCAACACCGAATTCTTATCATTTCTACTAAGAAAAATATCGAACATCTATCAAAAGCCTTATTCTGGTTAATAGATGAGACTTTTAAAGCAGTCTCATCCATTTTTTCTCAATTATATATAATCCATGCACCAGTTGGTCCAAGAAAATTCTCGAATCTTACTATTGGTGTATGAAATAATAACAGAAAAATCTGAAGAATTATATAGGTTAGTAATGATTTAAATTATTTTAATCTGAATTAAAATCATGTGATTATACTTTACCATTTTTGATGCTTCTGCACCTATTTTTTTGATACATCTAAACATATCCTAAAATTTCTGTACTTTTTACTAACTTTTATATAATAATGTGTGATCTTATTGGTTAGTTTTAGTGTAAGTTTAAATGTATTGAAAAAGTAGATGAATGAGTATTAAAAATATATATTTGCATCAAAGTTAGACAAATTTTGGAGTACTAAATCATGTAATACATATAATTCTATGGTAAACCTTGGCTTTATTCTATTTTAAACAGGTAAAAATAGAATTTTTATCATTATAATTAAAGTTTATAATCATTAAAAATTCCCAAATATAGATTGTTCTTCAAAAGTTTGTTTAAATTTGCCAATAAAATAAATATTTAATTAAATCCAACATGGATAATTACAGACTTTGAGAAAGCTGTAATTAATGCATTACGTTGTAAGCTACCTAATGCAATAAATAAATTGTGTTACTTTCATTTATGCCAAATTGGATGGTGTAAAATCCAGGAGTATGGCTTGGTTACTACATATGGTAATAATATCCATTTTAGCCTTATGATCTGGCATTTATTTGTCTTGCCATTCTTACCTCCAAATGAGATTTCTGCTAGTTTTGAAATTTTAAAGGCTAATATGCCTCCTAAGGCAAGTGATATAATCCAATGGCTTGAAAATAACTATATTGGAAGGGTAATTGGGCAAGATGGAGATACAGTAGTCTGTAACTTGCCTTTTTTTTATCCATGGCTTTGGTCTATATATGAGTCAGTAGACTTAGATATTTCACGAACACAAAACTCCATGGAGGCTTGACATAGATGTTAAAATGCTTTAGTTGGAGGAAAACATATAAGTATTTATACATTAATAATTGAGTTGCAAAAAGAGCAGCAGTACATTGATGTTCAGGTTAAATGTATTCTTTATAAAGAACCAAGACCCAAGCTAAGCAAATATTATATTGAAAAAGAAAGAAGAATAATGACAGTTTTTAATAATCGAGAAAATCAGCCAGTAATAGAATATTTGTATACAATGGCACATAATCTTTCATCATATCTTTCTTTGTAATGTTTTTGTTTAAATTAGTTTACTTTGTATTTTTTTTTTTGTAAGTAATTTAGATTTTTTTTTTTTTTTTTTTTTTTTTTTTAACCTTAAGCAGTTACGCTAGTACTTTATTAAGATTCTTGAAACTATT